AAGGCAGTGTTGCATAACATGCTGCATGTTCATTAAAATAATCGTTGCTGTGTGTTGGCATCTAACTCAAATTGAATAGGATGCCGCAACACAATGCACAATTACATATTGCAACAGTCTGGACAGGAGCTTAGTGTTGTAAATTTTGTATATGTCAATAGGCAAGCTCACGTGAATGTTGTCACAAGTACCAGTGTCCCCATTTGAAGATGCTCCTCACTTTCATTGCCGGTGACAATGGTGATCAAGACAATGAGAGTGAAACTGGGTTAAAGTGGCCCTAACCCCTAATCTGACGTGTGTTTCCGCTGTTGCAGCCAAATTGGGATAACACACATATATATATATATATATAACATGCTCCCATTCACATTGCATACTTTTAAAAGGTAAAGTCCACTTTCTGAGAAAAAAATATATAAATAAATGGCACATAAGAGAAAAAAAAATGTGCATTTATTTATTTTTTTGCATCGGAGGCAGTAAAGCATTGCAGCTGCGATCAGTAGATGGCGGGTGCAATGCTCTGGCTCCTCCTGTACCTCAATAGTTCAATACCATGGACAGGAGGAAGAATGATTCATTCATTCATGGACCCTGTCAAAGGATCTGTGATTGGATGATGCAGCTGTGTGGGCGGAACCACGCACAGACACGCCAAATTCACAATACAGCTGCAGCCTGCTGGGAGAACTCCGCCGTTCAGGTAAGTAGGGGAGCGGGAAAGAGGGGTGCAACACGACCATGTGCCCTATATGGGTGCAACATCAAACATGGTTAGAAAAGTAAACTTAGCCTTAAATAAAGATTTAAAAAAATAGTTCCTATCTTTATAAATAATCTTTTCTGAAAACGTCAGGACCGAAAGATCCAAATGAGCTCTTGCCTGCTGTGAAATATTTATGAGGGGGCTGGGGAGGTGATGTTTATCATAATGAACTTGATCTGTACTATGCTGGCAGATCTCCTCAGTTGTAAACTAGATGGGTAGGACTGTCTGTCCTAACAAAGGGTTAAAAATGCCAAGACTTGGGGGCTGTATTGTATGCTAACGCCTTGCCTGTCAATCTGTCCCCTTATCTGCTCACAGGCATCTTTTCATAGCCATAGAAGCTGCCTGTAGTATCCTATGTCTAATCCTGCTGCAACCAAAAAAAGATAAAGACTTTTTTTATTATTATTAGGTATGCTGTGTGAACACATAACAAACATAGAAGGGAGTTCTTCAATGTGACTGTGGTGCAGATCAAAGGTCAATCACGTGTTTGTAACAACCAATCACACAACACGGATCTCATTCTTTTAATACAGCTTATACCACGCCTCCTGGACCCCCTTATACCACTTATAAATATTAGCAGAGGTGTTCGGATGAACTCCTGCACGTACAGAGATAGTGGAGCTCTCCGGACGCAGGAGAATGGCGTCACTAGAGCTTATTAAATCGGGTAACCGGGGCTCCTCCACCACAGAGACATACCACCTACACAGACAGAATGCCCCCCACACCCTCACACTCACCCTGTCCCCTTCACTTTTCGCCCGGGGCCCGCGCCCCTGCTGCCCCCCCGGTTGTTACGCCACTGCTGGAATGGAATGGGGACAGTCACAAGTTGCTATGTTTGTCCCCGTTACGGACTTTGCCACTTCCTGTACTGGGGTTCAACTGGGATTAAAGGAACATGTGTGAAAACCTGTCAGAAGAGAGATGTGTAGGCTGCCATAACTAACCCAGCACAAGCATGTCAGTGAAGCCAGAACACCTGATCTACATGCGCCTTCTGGGTCAAAGACAGGAACGCATAGAAGCCAGAGGATCATCATGTCGCCCATACAGCTAACTGTTCGTAGGGAGATCAGTAATGATAATCATCGTATTTCTCTCTGGTGCCCCCATTTAGATGCGATCCCTGTACTCAGGGCTGCCAATAGAAATCATGGGGCCCATTCAGCCTACAAGGCTAGGACCCCCCCCCAGCTGCCAATGACATGCTTGTACTTCTGGTCCCCCCCACAGTCTCACACTATTATTATACATTTATTTAGCTCTGACCTATACCACAGTGCTGTACAGAGAACACTGAGCCAGGCACATTAGTTTCTGTACAGAGGAGCTTACACTCTAATGCAGAATGGCACCGGCTGAAGGGGGACTACAAATCCCAGCAATAAATTATACAGCAATGCATAACAGTATATGAACTGGACTCGGGACTTAGTAACACACTGGCCTCAGGACTTAATAACGTACTGGTATCAGGACTTAGTAACGCTCTGGATTTAGTAAAACTCTGGACTAAGTAACGCACTGGACTCAGGATTTAGTAACGCACTGGACTCAGGACTTAGTAAAGCACTGGACTTAGTAGCGCAGTGGACTCAGGACTTAGTAACATACTGGACTCAGGACTTAGTAACGCTCTGGACTTAGTAAGGCACTGTCTCAGGACTTTGTAACGCTCTGGACTTAATAATGCACTGGTTTAATGACTTGGTAACCCACTGGATTCAGGACTTAGTAACGCACTGGACTTAGTAACGCTCTGGACTCAGGACTTAGTAAAACACTGGACTCTGGACTAAGTAACACACTGGACTCAGGATTTAGTAACGCTCTGGACTCAGGACTAAGAAATGCACTGGTCCCAGGGCTTAGTAACACACTGGACTCAGGACTTAGTAATGCAATGTGCTCAGGACTCAGTAACACTCTAGATTTAGTAAGGCACTGTCTCAGGACTTTGTAACGCACTGGACTCTGGACTTAGTAAAGCTCTGGACTAAGTAACGCACCGGACTCTGGACTTAGTGCGTCAAACAGCCAACATTTGCACTGGACTCTGGACTTAATAACGCACTGGACTCAGGACTTAGTAATGCACTGGACCCTGGACTTAGTAACGCACTGGACTTAGTAACGCACTGGACTCTGGACTTAGTAACGCGCTGGACTCTGGACTTAGTAACGCGCTGGACTTAGTAACGCACTGAACTGAGGACTTAGAAATGCACTGGTTTAAGGACTTGGTAACGCACTGGACTCAGGACTTAGTAAAGCTCTGGACTAAGTAACGCACTGGACTCAGGACTTAGTAACGCACTGCACTCTGGACTTAGTAACGCACTGGACTCAGGACTTAGTAAAACACTGGACTCAGGATTTAGTAACACTCTGGACTCAGGACTTCGAAATGCACTGGTCCCAGTACTTAGTAACGCACTGGACTCAGGACTTAGTAGCGCACTGGACTCAGGACTTAGTAATGTACTGGACTCAGGACTTTGAAATGCACTGGACTCTGGACATAGTAACGCACAGGACTTTGAACTTAGTAACGCACAGGACTTTGAACTTAGTAACGCACAGGACTCTGGACTTAGTAACGCACTGGACTCAGGACTTAGTAAAACACTGGACTCTGGACTAAGTAACACACTGGACTCAGGATTTAGTAACACTCTGGACTTAGTAACACACTGGACTTAGGACTTAGTAACGCACTGGACTCTGGACTTAGTAACACACTGGACACAGGACTTAGTAACACACTGGACTCAGGACTTAGTAACACACTGGACTCTGGACTTAGTAACACACTGGACTCAGAAGCCACCTGAGACCCCACACATACCTGAGATCCCACACAGCCCACCAGAGAGTGACCCTGCAGAGCAGACCATAGATCCTGCACGGCCCATCTGAGACTCTCTATGGTGGGCTCTGCAGGGCCTCAGGTGGGTTGGTCGCCAGGGTCTCTTTCCCTGCATGTAAAAGTACAAGAAGCAATCGCAAGCACTATTCTGCGCGCTGACCAAAGACGTTACTTCAGACCATGAATGAAGAAAAATATACTTTAATAGATAATAAGTGAACTATGCATAGAAAATATTGCACCAACTCCAAATAGACACTCTTAAAATAAAAACAACGTTGTCTTTTCATTCATGTGCAACACCATTCATACCTAAGGGGTTAACCCTGTCTCCACCATCTAATATGTACACAATATCACCATGGATTAATCTGCCCAACAGTCATGTGAAAACGTAATTCTTATTGATGTGTATATCCCTTGCTGGTTTGAAACCAATCTATCATGGGCGTTTATACACAAAAAAAGACTTATAAGCAGAATTGTGGACTGCCTGTGTCCGTGTTTCTAACCAAGTTCATAGTAAAGTAACAATATCTCGGTTTTCGGTTGATCATCCGTTGATAATCATGAACATGTTTCAGAGAAGGCCTTTAAATCGTTTCTTATCGCTTCGGTGTCATTATATGCTCAACATATGTGCGAGACACAGATGGAATCCGATAATTAGAGACCTCATTGAACAATTGATCTAGATTGATCCACCATCCACAATCTAAAGTGTCCAATCTGCTCAAAAGCAGGATTTCTATTAGTATTTTTACGGCCTTGGATCATAGATCTATTGGAAGATATTCAAAAAAGGGTTACAGCTGTAACTTAAATGTATAACTCACGATCACCCGGGATTGATTGTCGAGGAGCCGGTGATGTATCGAAAGTGCGAACTTATCGAGTTGTGGGACCGCATGACTTCCGGTTTCCTCAGAACTACGAGGTTTGCACACAAAACATGTTGTGCATGAGCGCCATCCACGGCATTGCCCTATACACATAGACCACAGCAATAAAGTAATAAAATGATGTAGGATGACAGTAAGCCAGCACGTTCTTTATCTGCGGTGCCCCACTCAATATGGCCGCCGCTTGAGTGGGGCACCAGAGATAAAGAACGTGCTGGCTTACTGTTATCCTACATCATTTTATAACTGTATTGCTGTGGTCTATGTGTATAGGACAATGCCGTGGATGGCGCTCATGCACAACATGTTTTGTGTGCAAACCTCGTAGTTCTGAGGAAACCGGAAGTCATGCGGTCCCACAACTCGATAAGTTCGCACTTTTCGATACATCACCGGCTCCTCGACAATCAATCCCGGGTGATCGTGAGTTATACATTTAAGTTACAGCTGTAACCCTTTTTTGAATATCTTCCAATAGATCTATGATCCTCGATAAGTTCGTACTTTTGATCGATCACCGGCTCATGGACCTTGCTTTTATACAAAGTGTCCGATTTCGATTTTTCAGGAACCAGTTTCCTTTTAACTGTAGCGATATGGCTCAGAGGTTGTACAGTGGGTACTGACTGGTTTTCCCCTTCGATTGGAAAGTCCAGAGACTGGAAAATTATTGATCCATGGTTCTGTGGATTTAAGAGGGCATGCTGGAATTATGTTTGCATGCTCCCCGGTGGTTCAAGGTAACCCGCACATACACGGAAACGTCGACGCGTTTCGCACCTCCTGGGGCTTGCAGTTGGTGCAATATTTTCTATGCATAGTTCACTTATTATCTATTAAAGTAGATTTTTATATTTTTCTTCATTCATGGTCTGAAGTAACTTCTTTGGTCAGCGCACAGGATAGTGCTTGCGACCGCTTCTTGTTCTTTTACATGTTATGCCTAGTTACAGACCTACTGTGATTCATGACTGGTATGCCCCGTAAGGGACGCCCTATCTATGCACGGGTTAATCAATTTTTTCTCCGGGGAATCCTTTTTGCTTTTGTCTCTTTCCCTGCACATGCTCCTTACTTGTTATTGCTGGGGCCCGGCCTCTCCCGCCGCTGGACTGGTGCTGCTGGGGCCCAGACTCCTCCACTATCACCTCTGCCATGCCGACCCTGGTAGGTACCCCTACATGGGTATCAGCCATACCCCCCTGATGGCAGCCCTGGCTGTATCCAAGTTAATGTTCACGTGTGTGTTAGTGTCCAAGTTAATGACAGGTTGCCAGCGGGCACATGTGTAAGCAGAAATCCATATGTTATATATGATACAACTACATGTGGTTTGGAATAGATTACTATTGCTGGGTGGATCTGTACTGCATCCAGGGAGAAATATCTATTCCAAACTGCATGTAATTGTATCACATACCATTAAATATGGACTGCAGCTTACAGATGCATCTGGTGTGGGCACAGCGGCTGCATCTGAACAGGACACCTGGGATTTCTGCCGCAGGAATCTGTAGGTTACTGCCACAGGAATGTCAGCATGCCCAAAGTGAATAGGGCCTAAGCTGAAGTTTAACCTGCTTATTTTTCCCTACCCTTACTTGCCCCCTCCCCTTCATCAGAATGATAATGACATTTTTAATAAAACCTTTCCCTTTTATATTACATACCTTATTTTAAACCCACTTACGTTATCACTGGATTGCTGTGCTTCTCTATGCAGTGCAGGCAGATTGTGGCTGGTGCGAGGAGCCAACAAGGTGCTGTTCATAGCCTCCCGAGGACATCACAACACTCTGCATCAGTACTACTCTAACACGCCCTCAGTCCTGATGCGAGCAGTGGGATGGCTCTCAGGAGGGATTATGTAGACATCAAAATGCCTTGATGGGTGGGCATCAGTCTGGAGGAGAGGGTGTTCCTAGGCATGCTGCATTTGCATAGAGAACACCAGAGGTAATGCCCACATGTGATGCTGAGCCTCCATGTTTGAAAAAACTGAAATCCAATGAATGAAAGTTGTCGGTCAGGGACATTAAAGTGACATTAAACCCTCAGATTTTTTAACATAAACAATACTGTAATGTGTGCCTTACTGTAATCCATGGTTGTTTCCCTTCTCTTTGCTGCTCTTCTTTTTAAATCTGTATCTCTTCTCATGCTGGGGGAGAACTTCCCTTTGCCTCTTCCTGTAGTGCTGGCTCAGGTTGTGAACCTGCACACAGACACCATGTATCCATTCCAGAGACAAGGCAGTCGGCTGCAAAACAGAAGTTCTCCCCCAGCATGAGAACAGATACAGATTTAAAAGGAAGAGCAGCAAAGAGAAGGGAAACAACCATGGATTACAGTAAGGCACACGTTACAGTATTGTTTTATGTTAAAAAATCTGAGGGTTTAATGTCACTTTAAGGCTGGGAGGAAAGCGCTAGATGATGCTGGATGTCCTCAAGCCATTTATTAATGCCAGCTCTATCTGACTTTCTATGCAGCCAGCAGCATCCTAGCAACCAATGATGCATCACCTCCTGGCCAGGAGATTTCTAGACCAACAGCTGAATGTAAACAAAGGGGTGGGGATGTGGGCTGATATCACCGACCAAATATGGCCATGGTCATATGTGGGTAATGACAACAGGCAGCGTTGTCGGCTTCACTGTGTAGTAAAGAGCAGGGCATGTTTTCATGACTGTCTCTGTATACCAACTTAGAGTTGGTCTTACCCTCTTCCTGAGGTTAGGACGTCCCATGCCGCCCTGGAAAACATGGGCTTTAAGGGCGTTAGGACGGCATGGAACGTTCTAACTTCTAAGCCCTTCGGTCCCCCCCCCCCTGTTACCCCCGTTATACTTACCCCCCGGGATGCAATGAGCGGACTTGCCTGGCTTCTCACTCAGGCAGTCTTCAATTCGGCTCACATGATCACAGTGACAAGCTGTTGCTGTGATCAGTGGTACATTGTAACAGCCAATGATTCAAGTAATTGGTTGTCATCACTGCCTCAGCTTCTCTCTCTCCTCTGTGTGGTCTGAGGCTACAAAGTGTCCCAAGTGTCTCAAAACTAATAATAAAAAAACCCTTCAAAGAAAAAAATTAACCCCTTCATTGCTGATCACAGTTTTATAACTTTGATCACTCTGATCAGTACAATAGCACTGTTCATGATTATTGTGGGGGGTTTCTTTTCCTTCTTTTTTTCGTTAATTGTACACATTTTTTATTAACCTCTTCAGTGCTGATCAGTTTTTGTATTTTTTAATTATAATTTTACCCTTTGTTAGTACTAATTTTTAATTATTTTATTTACTTTTTTTTTTTTAAATGAACCCCTTTAGTGCTGACATTGTAGAATACAATTATGGGTGTTTTATTGCAGTAAAATGTATCAGTATTATGATATTCCCAATAAAATGTGTGTGTGCGTGTTTGGAAAAAATGCAAATTCCTTAATTCTCATAATTGGTTAGATTTTATTCATTTATATTTACAGCTCATTTATAAATATTTAATGCCAAACAAAAAGCCCTATTTGTTCTCTAAAAAACAATATATAATAAGTGTGGGTGAAAGAGGTAAATTATAGTTGAACAGACATATACCATGTTTCCCCGAAAATAAGACAGTGTCTTATTTATTTTTTTGCACGAAATAAGACACTAGGTCTTATTTTCGGGGGATGTCTTACCTGGCTTCTTATTTTCGGGGGATGTCTTACTTTTGGGGAAACACGGTAGCTCAAATTCTATGTTTTGTTTACATTCAGAGCTCCTGAGGATTCAGAGATCTGCCATGCCCTGCTGACATGGCAGATCTCCCTCTCCTGCTCCGATCGCCGAAACCGAATGTTCAGCAGCTTCTCCCCGGCTTTTTAGTGGCCTCACCCTCTGCTGTTACCTGCCTTGCCTCATTCTTCTCTGAGCAGTCCCGGTCACTGAATGGCAGGTAGAAGTACGTGTAGCTGGTCTGCTGCCTCTCCTCCATGGGGTTCATGGCGGTGTAACCTCCGTGACCTCTGACAAGAAATAAGACAACATTGTGTATATGATAGTATGGCACAGTTGTGAGGAGTAGGGTTGCCACCTGTCCGGAATTCACCCGGACTGTCCAGGTTTTGAATGCTGTGTCCAGGTTTCATGGCAGCTGAAACCCAGACACAAGATGTCAGGCAGACAGGGGCAAGCAAAATTAAGATAGGTGCTACTGGCCCCCCCAAATGAAAATAGTCTCGACTGTGATAGTTACATATTAATGGGTGGCGCTATTTACATATGAATAGGCCGCGACTCATTCTCCCCCCAAAAAATTCAGTGTGTCGTAAGAGTGTTCAGGTTTTGCTGGAAGAAAAGGTGGCAACCCTAGTGAGGAGACCTGAGACCAATCATTGTGACTCTATTGTAAGGGGGACTCTGATGTAAGGAGGGGTTCTGATGTAAGGGGGAGCTCTGATGAAAGGGGGTGGGCTCTAATGTAAGGGGAGCTCTGATGTAAGGGACCTCTGATGTAAGTGGGAGCTCTGATGTAAGGGGGAGCTCTGATGTAAGGTGGGGCTCTGATGTAAGGGGG